AGCTGAACGTACTTACTTGTAGGGTGTCGACGCTGCTGTAACAGCATCCTCAAGATTCTAAAGTGACAGTTGTCTCAGGCGGTGGGCCAGGCCGGACAGACTGACGTCAGTGTGACCACTGCTGCCATGGAGTCTTGGATGCAGAGCCTGAACGAGCCCGATCCCAAAGAAGCTCTCCTGGCGTCCGACGCACGCCTGGTCCTGGTGGCGCAGAACGTCCTAGGGGATCCGATCGTATACCAGGGAAAGGCTGAGGTGATGAACTTCTTCCAGGGCTATGAGCATGCTGTCGGGGCTCGAGAGTTCCTGTCTGTGGACGGAGGTGCCTTCATGATCGAGGTTTCGCACGGCATGCCCCACCCGCGCATGGGAATCCTGATTTTCGAGGTGAACCCCGACGGCAAGATCCAGAACATCAAGGTCTGGACGGGCGACCTGCGGGACGACACTGCAGACTTGGACGACAGCGGCTTGACAGGCGTCGCAAGCCTGGCGCAGAGGGCGGGTGCCTTGCAGAAGTGTTCAGTTCTTGTAGACTGCTGTCAAATCATAAGTAGTCAACTTGGTAGATATGTTTGCGCTGGAGCTGCAGGCACGACTGAGCACACAGAGTGCCGGCAATCGGGGAGCCAACCGTCGCTCGAGCAGATGCGCAGGTTCAACGCCTCTGCCGAGAAGGTCAAAGCGCTGGATATGGCCGCCGTGGTGGCCGTCCTGGTGCAGAGGGACGGCTACTCGCCTACGAAGGCAGCAGAGCTTGCAGAGGAGTACCGCAAATACTTGGCCCTGGTGGGCACCGGCCTGCAGCCAGTGCCGTCGAAGAAGGTGGATGATGCCTGGCACGCCCACATCCTGAACACCAAGAACTATGCCGCGGACACGCAGGCGCTCTTCGGCCACTTCCTCCATCACGAGCCGGCCAACCTTCTCCTAAACGAGCAGGGCCTGCAGGAGCAGAAATCCTCCATGGACAACATGTTCGTGAGCACCAAGATGCAGATTTGCGACTTCTATGGTCGCGTGAACGAGGACGCATGGGCCAAGGAGGATGTGGCACTTTGCGCCCCTCGCCGCTGCAATTCAGAAGCTTGTGAGTTGATGTTGTGGGTTCTGTGGGTTTGCTTTCCGCAGCCATTGTCCAGCCTGTCCAAG